TTTCCCTCACCATGGAGGCAAAGGGGTACCACACTGGGTGACGGTTCTTTGGATATTCATATGAGTGAATGTGCACAACAGCTACTAACAACATTGCATGCATACTGGACTAACATACATTCTGGTTCAGCCCCGATGCCGGTAGACCCAACACACCCCTTTAAGGTTGGTGACAGAGTAATGATTAGACAGTTCAATAAAATGAGCACAGAACTGGGGGACCCCAAATATGGCCCCCCGACGGATGTCGTGGCTGTAACCAGAACCGCCGTTTTAACCTCCTCTTCTCCACAGTGGATCCATGCAACCAGGATAAAACGAGCACCTATTGAATAATAAAAATGTATAAGTTTTGTACTATGATAATCTGTCTGCAGACTCTCTTTGTTTTATGATCAGGTAAGAGAATTTTTATTCACACTGCCTGTTCCGGTGTATCTCAGGGGATTGTGTAAGACTTGTGTTGTTGTACCCGATTAAATTTGGGTTCCACAAGCAGCTGACGTCTGTGTTACTGGCACAGAGTATCCTGTCACTTCCTTATGCGGTAGTAAGTTGCGCAGAAGGATTTGTGTTGTCGTACCCGATTAAATTTGGGTTCCACAAATCAGGGGAATTTATTGAATTGATAATTTTTGAAGTGCACCAGCTTCAGCATCATGGGTCAGGTATATCCAAAACCAGAACCTAGTGAAACTCCAAAAGAGTGGATGGATAGATGTGGCTGGGGATTTTATACTGAACCTTGGCTGTCCAACTTAGCTGGGTGGACAGAGGGGCAATCCCAGTGGAGAGACTTCCCCAGGGAAGGAACCTTTGATCCAGGTGCTCTCCAATCAGCCTATAAATTAACATATGAAGGATATGGGGATCCTGAGTGGGATGATCAGTATATGATAAATGGATATGACACATGGTATACAATGAGCTCTATATGGAGAGATAAAAAGGGCATTTTTACACCTAAAACCATTTTGAAATCTGTCCCCAAACCCAAAAGCAGAAGCAATACTGCCCGTGAGGCAGATAAGAGGGGCTCTCTCGCAGCTGCTAAGACAACTATGATATCACCACCCCCTTACACGGGGCCTCAGCCTGCAGTTTCATGCTCTGCTGCTAGCACTCCCCCTATAATATCTTCTGTTTATCCGCCCCTGACAGAAATTATAAAAAATAAACCAGACCGTTCTAACAGCACAGAAGACGCTACTCCAGCCTCTAATGTGGCTGCCGTGTGGGTTGCTAAACCACGAGGGATAGAGATAATTCCGCCCTCACCCTCTGTTCTGAAGGATCTCATATCTCTTCTGCCCGAAGTTGATAAACCACTGCAATTTGTAGACATGTTGCTGCGCAGTTCACGCCATTGTCAGTTGGTTGGCGCAGATTATCGATTTATCCTCTAAAGCAAAATGGGTTCGTCCTATGACGATGACGAAATGACAACAAAAATACCTGCTCTTGATCCCAAGCATGATATAGTACACACAGAGACAATTAAGGAAGAAACAGATGAGGGCAAAAAGACACGCACTCGTATAAAAACACGCCTCGCGTGGAAAGATGATCAGGAGGAGCTCCTGACACATCTAAAACAGCAGCTTACTAAATACTTAGTACCATAATTACTGGTCTGAATGTGACGCCACGACTGATCCTAATGGAATAATGCTAGATGGCAAGGGCCGTTTATGCCTGCCATCATCCTGTGCACCTTTTCTCGTCCGCGAGTTTCACGGTGTTACACACCGCGGCCGAAGAGGGGTAATAGACACAATGAGTTCCTTTTTGTGCATTAATAATTTATAATTTACAACATCATGTTAATAACACCTTAGATAGATGTCTGATATGCGCTCAAAATAATATCACTAAACCTCAAGCTAAACATCAACAATTGCCCCTTCCTGAAACACTTTTTCAGGAATGGCAGGTAGATTTCACACATCTGCCAAAGAGGGGTCCTAATAAATATTTACTGGTTTTTGTGGACAAATTTTCAAAATGGGTTGAAGCCTTCCCATGCAGTAAGGAAGATGCTAATACAGTTGTCAGATGTTTGACAAGAGAAATCATTCCAAGATATGGTATACCATGTGCCATAGACTCAGATAAGGGAACCTCATTTACTGCGAAAGTAATACAAAATCTAGCTAAAGAACTCCAAATTAATTGGCAGCTACATATTCCCTACCATCCACAATCATCTGGTATAGTAGAACGAACTAATAGGACTATTAAGGATAAATTAAGAAAGGCTATGCAACATGCAGGGCACTCAAATTGGCTCGCCTTGCTACCTCTCGTTTTAGCAGACATGAGGATGTTTCCTCACAAAAGTCTTCACGGTCTCTCTCCTTATGAGACTGTGATGGGACGACCCTTTCCCTCACCATGGAGGCAAAGGGGTACCACACTGGGTGACGGTTCTTTGGATATTCATATGAGTGAATGTGCACAACAGCTACTAACAACATTGCATGCATACTGGACTAACATACATTCTGGTTCAGCCCCGATGCCGGTAGACCCAACACACCCCTTTAAGGTTGGTGACAGAGTAATGATTAGACAGTTCAATAAAATGAGCACAGAACTGGGGGACCCCAAATATGGCCCCCCGACGGATGTCGTGGCTGTAACCAGAACCGCCGTTTTAACCTCCTCTTCTCCACAGTGGATCCATGCAACCAGGATAAAACGAGCACCTATTGAATAATAAAAATGTATAAGTTTTGTACTATGATAATCTGTCTGCAGACTCTCTTTGTTTTACAGATTTTGGGGGCCCCCTCAGCACAGACAACACCTCTACAGCTGCAATTCACCTCTACAGCAGCACAATTGCGTTTGGGAGACAGATGGGAGCTAAACACGTAGCACTGTCTACCTTAAGGCAAGGGTCAGCATGACTTCCTTTTTGCTGCGGACAATTGGACTGTTTCTCTTTCTTGTTGCTCAAGCTAATGCAGCCAGGCTGAAACGCTGGACACATGATCATGAATTCGGATGGGCAGAGGATGGGGCTGACAATCCTATTGGAACTAATATGTGGTATCAATATGTGAAAGTTTTAGCTAGGTCATATAATGTATCTGGTTGTTATGTATGTTCTGTTATGCCTCATTCAGCCAAGCAAACCCCTCTTTATGCCAAACCCATGAATAAGACCTCTGCTAAATGTTTTGCCAGTTTTGCAGGATCAGGGTACCAGAATCCATATATAATTGTCGATGACTACGATCCATACCGGATTGGCATTAGAAATGGTACATGTGATGCTCTATTTTGGGTAAAATTTGGCCACGCTAAACCCTCACCTATTAGCCACAAGGTTTTTTATTAACCATTCTATTACACACCCTGTGTGTTATAACCAGACCATGGGCTCTCATTTCATGGGAAGCACTGTTAACTGTCAACAAATTGCCTCCTCGGGAGAGGGGGCCCCAGTCGACATCTCAGGACCCTCAAATGGCACTTATGTGGTCCAGGGTGGGTGGTGGTTGTGTGGGAAAAACGCCTACATGTCACTACCGGCCAACTGGACGGGGCAGTGTGCTCCTGTGCATGTGACTGGTCACACTTTTATTGTGACAGCCCAGGTCCTGTCAGTACAGCAAAGAGTTAAACGCAGTGTCCCTGAAATTAAGCCCCATGACTCTGTATGGGGTACTGATGTGCCCGAGGATTTCAAGGTATGGACCACTGGTAACAAAGTGGTATTGGCTCTATTTCCGCAAATAGGTGTGGGAAAAGCTCTACTAAGAATCGAGACCCTGGACTATCGCATGGGCCTATTTCTGAATGCCTCAAAAAAAAAAAAAAAAAAAAAAAAATTTAATGAGGCCCAGAATAAGGAGCTGGGTAATCTACGTACCATGGTATTGCAAAATAGAATGGCTCTAGATCTCTTAACAGCATCCCAGGGGGGGGTATGTAAATGAGTACTGCTATGTCTACTCTCCAAGGGTTAAAAATTGCCATGACTTCAGATTATGTTCCCGACACAACTTGGGGTTGGATGATGGGTCTGTTCGGCTGGGTGACTCCTTTCCTTACTATGATAATTCCTGTATGTATTATTTTCCTTCTTATTTGTTGTTGTGGTCCTTTTCTCTTGCAATGTTTAATCAATCGAATCTATGCCACAATGGACAGTATGATGGGTCAACGGTATGATAAGATTCCTCTGCGTTAGGCCTTTGGCCTAAAAGAGGGGACTGAGAGAACATTTTGTCCTCTTTCAAGTGTGCTTGCATGAGAAGCAGAAGCTCCTGTGGTTTTGTGTGTGTATGTGTGTGCGTCGGAGGTCTAAGGTCAACGTCTGGTTTCAGTCTTGCAGGCTGCTCCCCCAGTGGAAAGTCCCGCGCTATACATTTCCTCTTTATGTTGCTTGTATAGTATGCCCATATTAAGAAGTGTCTTCCTTCCGTTGTGTAACTTTTAGAGGTCAGCCCACTATGTATATCTATCCCTGCTCATCCTGTGTGTGTTAGATTGCAGAATAAACCATTCTAACTACAGTTTGGTCTCTTCTCCTGTCTCCAAGTCGACTTGCTGAACCACGCTGAATCTGGTGCCTAATTTAGGGGAATCTTACACCCACCTTCCTCAGTAGGAAGAAGAGTAGCTGCATTCAAACCAGTACATTGTTTAACAGTCTACCTTCATGGTTCTGTAGGAGCAATGACGTCATGAACCCACTCCTCTGATCTACCATCTGAACAAATGGTTTTGTTGGTACAGGTAAACCCAATGCAGGGGCTTCAGCCATTTGTAATTTCATGTTTACAAATGCCTGCTCTGCCTCTGTCGTCCACCCTAGTTTGTCAGTGGATTTCATCCCCTTCCCTAGTGTTAGGGCTCTCAGGGGTTGTTCCAAAATTGCATAATTTGGAATAAATGTGCGACAATATGAGCACATACCCAAAAAAGACAACATTTGGTTTTTTTTTTGTTTTTTTGTGGTTTTGGTACATTTTTTATACCACTCACCCTTTTTTCAGACAGAGATTTGCTGTGTGGTGTAATGACGTGCCCCAAAAAAGTTACCTTTTGTTTACCAAACTGCAATTTTGTCAAACTAACCTTGTGGCCCTCCTTAGCCAAATGCTTAAGGAGAGTCACAGTGTCTTTCACACACATCTCTTCATTCTAAGCACATATCAACAGGTCATCAACATACTGTAACAAAGCAGTTCCAGCTGTCAGGGTCAAAGGTTCCAAACCTCTTAACAACGCTTCATTTTATAAAGTGAAACAGACACCTGACACAGACATGTAAAGGTGTTGCCTTTGCCATTGAAATTAAATGCAAACCAAAACTGGCTGTCTTTGTCCACTGGCAGACTGAAAAATGCATTAGCCAGATCAACCACTGAATAGAATTGTGATTTTTCAGGAATTTGTGACAAAATCGTGTACGGATTTGGAACTAATGGAGCCCTTTGTTTGACAGCTGCATTTACTGCTTGTAAATCCTGTACGAAACGCCATTCTGTAGGCATCCCATTATCCCTTATCTTTTTTACAGAAAAAATAGGGGTGCGAACCTCAGAATTGTTGCATGGTACAATAACACCCTGTTTCAGTAAACCTCAAATACGGGGGTAATGCCCTCAATGGCTTCCCTTTTCAAAGGATATTGTTGTTGACAATGTCTGTGATCAGATTATGCAGTGATTGTCACTGGATCACAACCTTTGATTAAACCAACATCATACTTGCTTTTAGCCCATAATTCACTTGGTATTTCTGCTAAAGCTGGGTGTATGTCTGCAGCGTTAAAGTCAACCATGCAAGAGTTCTTTACGCAAAGTTTGTCAGTCACAGTCACAGTTCTTAAAACAGCTGTTTCAGTTTCACTGTCCACCCTAAAGGCCTGCGAGAGAGCGCTCAGTCTTCGGCTTCAACACACTGCTTCACAAACGGGCCTAAATCAGCCCAAGACTGATGTTTACCCTTGCAAACTGATATGTGAGGCACAGCCTGTGCTGACATGAGATAGAATGAAAGCTGCTTTTCTGACAGAGACACTGAAACTGCACACAGACTATCCTTCCAGTACATTTTCTCTAAAATCAAAGTTTCATTCACATTTGCCTCAAACCAAGCCTTTTCAAACTCTGCATCCCTATCAGTTACGACATGTGACGTACAATGCAGTTCACCAGGAGACATTATATCAATGTCAAAAGGTTTTACACGTTCTTTAGCCAATTTGGAAATTGAATTAGCCCACTCATTGTTTTCAACCAGCCATTCATAAGCCCACTTCGGTGCTTGTGATTCAATTTGTAAACAACAAAATTCCTCTCCTTCAATCACTCTCACACCAGTGGAATCTGCTGTTAAAAACAACTTTTGTTTACACAAAATGTCCCTTCCGAGGATAGGAACGGGGCATTTTGGTGAACAAACAAATTCATATGTTAAAATTTTACCCCCCTCTGTCTCACAGGTCAGCGGAGCTTTAAATCGCTCAACCACTGTATGACCAGATGCAGACAGAGACTCGTGAAATTTGTTTGTTAAAGGTATTTCACACTGCAGGTCACATAGTCGTATGCAAGATATGCTAGCTCCACTATCAGCTAGAAACTCAACCAATGTATTCTCAATCAACATAGAATATTTTGGCATATTAAAAAAAATGCTTGACTATTAAAACAATGCCATTTCATCAGAAAAATGATCAACATTACTGTGATCAAAATTACAGTGGGAAATGCAAGCTTTTCCTTCATTGCAGAGAGCCAGTATGTCAGTGTATGTGAATATGTGTGTATAAAAATGTGTCTGCATTTAACATGTTAGTAAAAAAATGTTCACTTCCCTTTACTGTAGCTGTTGGCTGTTTGCCCAGACCCCCCTCCTTTCTGCTTTTCCCTCTCCGCACATCAGCTCCTCGTTGTTGGTTTGCGCCTTTCAGGTCAATCCTTGACCAAAAGTCCATCTCGGTGGCAAGCGCAGACATTTGGTTCCGTTTCTCGTCACGTGCACCACAGGCTCTGCAGGTTTCATCGCCATACGTCACATTCCAGTTTCTCCATCTTCTGGTATCTTTCTCCCCCTTGATACCTTTGTCACCTTTGAACTTGTGGTATTTTTGGTTGTCAGGTCTTGGTTGGATCTTTGGTTGGCCACTTGTACCAGAGCCATGCACAGCTCCCTTTCTGCTTTCTTCTTGTCTTGCTCTTGCTTCACTGTCAGCTTGTCTTCCGCATGTTGAGCACACAGCAGAATGTTCGTTAAATGTCCATTTCTCCAGTTCAAACAGATGTCCTCCACTCGCTTGAGGTGGGAATTTCATTGGTGCGGTCGGAGGTCTTCTGGGATAGTAGCAGTTAAGGTTTGGGTCAGTTCTCAGGGCTCGCAGCTCAGCCACGGGATAGTGATGGTACGGCAGTACATGTATGGAAACAGATGTATAGAAAGGATTAGTAGTGCTAATTACTCTTTCATTCACACGTTCACATTTTTTCATTTGCTTTTTCCTTCACTTTATCTCCTTCATTCTTTTCCCTACATGCCAGCTGCCTCTGCAGCATTTTCCTCTTTGCCTCTTATCTGCCTCCCTGAGCCAACAATCAACAGTGTCTCCACACGACACACACATGCCTTTCGCAAAGTCAACCTGCTTTTCCTTTTGCCTTCTTATCTCCTTTTTTTTATTATGTTTAACCTAGTAACACTCAACATTCCTTTTCCCTTAGAAACTTGTGATACTTTATTGTTTTCCTATCTCTTGCATGCCTTTTTCTTTTTTTTTTCTTTTTCCGTATAAATTTCCCATATTCCAAAAAACCGGTGTATCATATTTTTTTATTCTGCTTTGAGACTTCCCCAAGCTGGCAACAATCTTTCCCCTGGACTTTTTCGGTACCTATTAATCTGTCGGACGTCTCCAACAGAATTCGATTTTTCACCTAAAATCGAAAAGTTAAGCTTTCCAGCTCTAATTTTGTGGCCCCCAATTTCAACCCCCTTTTAGAAGTAAATCGCTTGGCCCCTGATTTCGACCTTATTCCGGAAGTAAATCGCACAGCCCTTGCTTTCAACCTCTTTTTGGAAGTAAATCGCACAGCCCCCTGATTTCAACCCCCTTCCGGGAGTAAATCGCAGTTAGCTAGCCAAACGTGTTAAAAAGGTCTTGATCTTAGTCAGGCGCCAGATCTCACTTGTGTAAGGTCTTGATCTTAGCTAAATGCCAGATCTCACTTGTAAAAAGGTCTCGATCCTTGCCTGATGTCAGATCTCACTTGCATTAATCACGCTGCTATCCCACAGAGACAGATCTACCAGCATGGTGATGGCCCAAATTACAGTGAAAAACCCTTTTAATTGCCTAATCAAATGCCCAAAACTGTTCAATTTTCTTTTTCTGTTAATTTCTCTCTTACCAGAGAGTTAAGATGCCACTTGAGTTCTTTTTCCCAGATGTCAGTGGGTTTTCCTTCCGAGCCCTGCGGTCGGCCCCTCAACCCTCAATCGAGCGGGGCAGGGCTGTGACACGAAGTCCCAGGATGATCAGTCACCGTCCGCAGGGTCCGGAAAAGTTCCTCCAAGACATCCCACTTCTGACACCAAATTGTAGTGGCAATTTTCTTTAAAGAGGCGCTCTCTGTGGTCAAGAAACAAAGTCTTACTCGAAATGTCTTTTTAAAGTTTTATTCTTTGCAAAGAAGGTCACAGTCATACAGCAACAACAGTTTCTGCAGAGTGAGACACTGAAGTCAAGTGTGTTCACCCTTTTATCTGGTTTTTACTACTTACAAGGTCAAACCCTAATACTGCCCATTCTGACGACAGTTTCTACAGAATGAGACACTGAAGCAAAGTATGTTCACTGTTCTATCTAGTTTGTACTGCTTGCAAGGTCAAATCCTAATAAGACCCATTCTGTACGTGCATCAGGTGCTCCGCTGTTTCTGCTGTAAGTTTCCACTACACATGTTTATCTAAAATGAATTTCCATTACACTTATTAAAACTATTATGTTTAGAAATGTGTTAAAAACATCTCTCCGTTTAACAGAAATAGGGGAAAAAATAAACAAAGGAGCGAATAGTTCAGGGGGGCTAATAATTCTGACTTCAACTGTACTTTGCAATAATGCTAATTAAAAGAATAAGAGTTGGCTCTCTATAAAACAAACATGATAGTTTTTTATTTTATTTCACATTTTTGGATGTGACAGATGTGCAAAAAATAATTGCTTGAAAACATTGGCCGAGACATTTTTGAGTATTTTACAGCACTGTAAAACACAAGCCTACACACACACAAAAACCTACAAAGGGTTTCGCTATTTTGGAGAAAACTTTTCAGGGTTGACATTTGCATGAAATTGCTCAAAATTTGGTTGCTTGAGGTGATACTTTTCCTTTCATGTTTCTTGATTTGTATAGTTTTCTATGCTGTGATGAACGGCCTCTCACTGTTTGACGATCCAGGCTCAGATCATCAGTGTGTCTGAAATGAGAAAAACAGCCAAACACCAGTCTGAATAAAAGCACTTCTTATGCTTCATGTATCAAATTCAATTCAATTCAATTCAATTACTCAGTGGAGAGAATTCTTGAGTTCCTGTAGGAAAGAGATTTTGACTGTTGACGCTTGAAATACAGTCACATCTTTACTGTTTCTGTCTAAACTGGTTTTCTCATAACCGAGACTCATGAACTCAGGCTTAAAGTTACTGACCCTTTGGTTCTTGTTGTTATTTGTTATTTAGTGTGGTTTAGTTTATTAAAGACACCAGTTTAACTAGTCATAGCAAGTCTCAAACCACAAGTTTATTGCACAATACATATCACAGAATCTTGCACAATACGTATCACAGAATATCTGCAGACTCTTACTGGAGAAGCCCATCAGCTTGACCAAGTCTGTCTGTGTTGATCTGCAGGTTCTCCAGTTTTATGTCTCGATGAAACACCCCACAATGGCAGCACAGATTGAGGGACACTGTTTCCTGCATGATACACCTTGCTGAGTCTTCATTGATGGAGCCTCAGTAAGACACCTTAAAGTCAAATAAGTCTTGTCAAGGTGAGAGACGTTCCAGGATTATGATGTACAGGTCAGGCTGTAGTAGTATCTGGATCTCTGGACAGGATTAAGACAAACTGCTAATAGAACGGGACCAGGCTAGAAGAAAGATCAGCGTTGAACCGAGGTGCTTTCGCAATAAAACTTCAGTTTATTTGCCTGTTTAAAACACAATCAACAATCAAACATGTTACAATTATGTTCCCAATGTGTCAAGTGCAATTTATATATATTATAAATATATATTGATACTGTAGCGAAATTATAATTCCTCAAAGCCATCCTTGCCAAAAGTTTGCTCCATAGATGCAGCCATATGATCCCTCACCAAAAAATGCATCTAAAGAATTAACAACAGCAGTTGACATGAGATGTGTGTAATGGCAGTGTGTTTAATGTTGAGATTATGGCTGTAAATTTACCAAAACAGACTGTACTGTGGTGGACTAGGAGGACTTCAAGACTTCTAGTTTCCTAAAGACCATAATCATCTTTTATAGAGCATGGGTTTTCAAACTGTGGGTCGCGACCCAGTAGTGGGTCGCACAGTGAACAAAGGTGGGTCGCGCAACGTCACACAGCTGCAGCTATATTTACATTGCCGTGAATCAAAACCAGTACGATTTACGGCAATAACTCAAACACCTCTTACCCTAAAAATATCTAAAGTGTGCTTCCTACAAAAAGACAAAGCTGGTTGTTTCACAGCTGTCTTTTTTTCACTCAACATTACGAGCACTGCTCCGTTTGAAGCCTGGTTTAATTCGCCCTTAAGCCCTGGCAATCTGCGTTTAGCAGTAAGGGACTCTCAGTAAGGGACCGTCGCAAAAGTGCTTATTTTATTTTTCATTGTTTTTTTTTGGTTTTTTTTGCTCCGTCCTGCGTGTTTTATTTTAAACACAACAAATTTTCTCTTAAATGAGCACAAACAGTTACTTAAGTAGTCGAATGCTTCATTATAGATCTGTGCATTCTTACATTAACACCTCTGTTATCAAACAAAACACAATGAGAGATTCCTTTGCTGCTCTTCACTAAATAACTATAGTAACTTTAATCAAAATGCAAATACTATTAAAAGTGAAATACATTGTATAGCTTTATTTAATTTCTGTATAGGCCATTAATTTTAAAAGGCTAAACTTTTTATTTTATTGTAAATATTTTTTAATGTTTGCTCTGTATTCTATCATTTGAAGCTATTTGTTGTCCCATATTTTAAAATCCCAACATTGACAGATTGCTAATCAATAAATAGCTATAGTGCTATCTGTTAGTTTTAACGTCAGCTAATGTTATGGAAGGACAAAGATGTTATGGAAAATATAGTAATGTAACTACCGTCATCATTCCTTCCTCAAGCAAATGTGTAAATATTAGATCTATTCAGCAATGACGTTAATTGCATTGGCATATTTACCTGACGTTTTCCCAGCTTGTAGTAATCGATCAAAAAGCTATTCAGTTTCTTATGACAATATACACTAGTAGTTGAATTTACTGTGATGTGACGGGGCCTGCATAATCAAGGGGCTTGATCAAAGGTTGATCATATTCTCTTCTAAAAAAAAGAAGAGTATTTTTTTTTCAACTAAAAAATGATCACAGTTACAGCCAGCGTCCCACAAAAAGCACTTCGAGCCTCATTTTGTGCATTTTTAAATCGCAAAATCCAAAAAGCCACACACCATATATTTTTGACTGCTTTGAATGGATACCTTTTTTTTTTTTTTTTTTTTTACCCATTTTTCCATATTAAAATATTATGGTGGGTCTTGAGATTGAATTACTTGCCTTGGTGGGTCCTGGAATAAAAAAGTTCTAGAGCACATGAACTGTACTGGCGAGAATCAATGAAATGCATGTTTCAGTATGATGACTATTCACAATTATACATTGCACACTCTTATTATGTTGTTTGTTCAGTACTATAATATTTCTTTAAACCATGTCTCAAAACCATATCAGATTTTTATGGTAAATTATGGAATGAATAATTGATCAAATCTTTGTATTTTGTTTAAATACAGGGAGCACAAACCCCTGATGCTGAACACCCCTTTGCTTCCCAAATGGCTCCTGTTTCTGATGCTCAGACCACCCTGTTACAGCAGTTAATAAAGGAAGTTAAAAATCAGGGTAGATACATACAGCAGTCCATGCTTAAAACTAGTACCCTTCATCTTCAACCTCCACAACAGCTTGAATCTCCTCTAAGCCATGCACCTACTACCTCATCCAGGTTGCAGTCGTGGCAGCATACGCATCCTCCCGGTCATATTGAATTCTCTGCTGCACCCCATAACCCTCTCCCAGTGGTAACACAACAGGCCTGTCAGACTACAGGTACCCATAGTGCTCCTTCTTATCAAATACGACAGTATTCTTATCCACCACCTTCAAGCCGAGCCCTTACCCAATCTGTGTCACAGCCCTTGCAGCTCACACATCCTTTTAGCCCTGGTCAGTTTCCTGTTACATATCTAGGATCAGTCTTGTATAACTCGATGTACCCACCTCCTACACTGCCAAGTCAACCACTGCCTGATGTTACATTTTCCTCTCCTCAGCCAACAAGTAATGTGCAGCCTCACCATCTGGCATTTGCACCCCCTAAAAATCAGCTAGTTCCTCCAGCTGCACCCCTGTCAAACTAAAGGAGGGTAGAAGGTCATACTTTCCCTGATCTCACTAGAGAAGATGAAGGTCAGTATTTGATGTTAAAGATGGCCCTATCCAACTTGTTGGATCCAGGAGTCAGAGAAGTATAAATATCACATCTTATTGGATTATATGAAGATGGACCAGGCTAGAAGACTTGCATTGGCTTATGTTTATGCCCCAGATCCTTATACTCAAGTTATACGTGCCCTAGATCAGTGGTTCCCAACCTGGGGTCCGCGCCCCCCTAAGGGGGGCGCCAGAGTTCACAGGGGGGGCGCGGGAGAGGATAAGTATTGAGGTAGAAAAAGGCATAAAAATGCTCCACTATTATAAAGGGCTTTGCAATTAATCGAATATCCGATTTAGATTTCGGTTTTAAACGATTATAAAAAAGCATTAATCGAGATAAATGATTATTGCATCATATTTTGCCACGTTCCAGTTGTACAAGCTCTTAAAAATGGCTCTTAAAAGCGCGAAAAAGCTTATGTGTGTGTGCAGCACGATCACGCAGTCAGAAGCATGCGGCGGGTCAGCATTCACTCTCATTCACACACTGAGACGAGCAGAGGAGCGCAGACATCTAAAGTCATCTTAACGTGAGCGCTTTAATGGTCAAATAGGTGTCAAAACGCGGTGTTTAGTGATTATGTACATTAACCCTCATTTGTGTTATAAACAAACGAGTTGAGGATCAAAAGACGTGAAAGAGAAACCATTAAAGAGACAGTGCGCTATAATCCTTCTGCCGCCTGTTTTTATCATTATTAAACAAACACGACGAGAAAACCCTCGCTGCTCTTGACTGAAGGACTGCTGTAGCTAAAGTGTTTTTCTTACAGTGAAGATGCTTAAAGCACAGTTTGTTTTATATTTTTATTCTATTGTATTTATTTCTCTTTCCTTTGCAGGGTGG